AGCCTTCATCTAATACCTGTTGGAAACAGAAACAAACACCCATATCTAAACACTGAGTCGAACTAGAACCCAGATGCAGATGGAGAGGACAAGACCAGGCTGCAGAAACACATAGAGACAGCTGACCTGAACAAGGAGTAACTAAAGGGCCTCAGACTGATAGCTGGGAAGCCAGCATGGGACTGACTCAGGCCCCCCAAATATGGGTCTCAGCCAGAAGGACTGAGCAGTCTAAGGGACCTCAGACAGTGGAGCCAGGTGCACAAAAGGACCTTGGGAACACATCCCCCATGGAGGGATAACTGCCTTAACCTAGAGACAGGAGAAAAGCCCTAGTCCCTACTTCGAATGACCTGTCAGATCTACATGACCCCAACTGGATGGCATTGCCCTACATATGGATTTGGGGTGGGGGGATGGGAGGGGAGGGTGGTTAGGGTGCATGTGAGGGGGCAGAGAGGATAAAAGGGAGGGAAGAAGGGAGGGAAGGAAGGAGGGAGGGAGGGACAGAGGGTGAGAGGGAGGGAAGGAGAGGGAACTGGGATCGACATGTAAAATAATAAATTAAATAAATAAAAAAAAATATTGAGAAAGCCCCGCTCATCCGCCATCCCCAAGCCTGGTGATGTTTTGACTAAGCCATCACACCCTCGCAAGCAAATAAATCCCTTTTTGTCTCTGTATATGAAACTGTACTGTAAATTGTCTTTAAATCTAGGCATTTCTTGGGGTAGACACATAAAAATAAAAATGTAAGGCTAATTACAGAGTGGAGGAAACAGATGTGAAGTAACTGAGTTTTTCTTTTTAAGGAGCAGGCCCATTTTATGATGGATGCAGGGCTTCCATGCAGTGGAAACTTTCTGAGATGTGGTGTACAGCACAGCAGCCTAACCACCTGTGTCACAGGGACCGAGGCTGTCGGTTACACGAAAGGGATCACATGGAAGGAAGTGTTGGTCAGTCCTGTCCCCAAGGAAGCACAAAGCGGAAAGGCTGCTGAAGGTACAGGGGCACAGCCGAGGATCTTCTGTAGCACTATTCAGATGACCTCTCACCCTTGATTATCTCAAGGACATTATCTCAACAGGTATGACCAGGAGAGAAGGCTGACAGCTGGGCAACTCCCATCCGAGGACCTGAAGTGTGACACTGTCTATATACAGCAACACAGAAGGATTGTTCAGACACTTGCAACGGGAAGAAATGAACCACAGAACAATGTGTTCAATGTGATTGTGTTCAGACTTCAGAAAAGGTTGTTGCACATATACATACTAGGAACTACAGTGACTCCATGTCAAGAAATTGAAGGTTTCAATCTTTGCAGACAGCCTAGTCACACATTGCTCACACAACTTAGAAAGTGAATGAAAGACCCAGATCTATTCTACCTTGAATCCTTTGAGAGTAAAGTGTGTGTGGGGGGGGGGGGGGGGAGGATACTATGTCTCTCCACAGTTTCACCCATTTCATTCACTGGCAGCAGAAACATCTAGAACACAATACAGAATAGGCACAGAGTATGGATTTCACAAATTAAATTTCATCTATTGTAGAAATTTATAGTAGGGTGCCTACCATGTGCAGCTAACACAAGCTCATCTGACATAAATTCCCTCCCTTAACCCCACACACTCTTCACATGCACACTGCCCTTTAGGACCTTAGAACTAAGCTTTGGGGAAGGTGAACTTCATGATGTTGTGGGGCTAAGATAAGGCCCCTTGCTGGCCAGAGCCTTAATCCTGGCTTTTGTTTTAAAATTATGCCTCTGAGGCTTTGCTTATCAGAGTCTGTCTTGTACCAGAATTTTGTTCATATGTTTTTCTGCTTGGCCTGAGAAAAATGAACGTCAACCTCTTGAACTGTGTAAGCAACAGAAAGACAAATGGCTCCATTCCTTGCCTAAAGCCCAGCATACCAACACATTCATGTTTGCTCAATGCCTTCCTTTCTCAACTTACTCTTTCTTCACAAAAGCAGAAGTTGTCAAGTGGGGGAAAGTGTCTGGATGCTTATTGGGCTCTGACAACTTTTATCTGGACTTTAGCTCATCCCTTTGCATCTAGTTTACCACAAAGGCTACCAAGCCAGAAGAAAAATTGCTTTTCTGGCCTTTTACCAGAAGGAAAAACACAATCTCATTTATTAGTATCTCTAATTCACATTCCCATCCCTTAATACCTGGCCCCTCAATGGCCCTCTCCAGCCATTTCTGCTAAGTCTAGTCCTTTTCTACCTTGAAGACTTTTCCATTTAAGTAGCTTACTCTCACTCACAAATACCTTCTCCTATAATTTGTCCCAGTCATCTCTGGAATTAGCTCCAGTTTCACACTGTGGCCCTTTGGTCCCAACAGAAATGGTCCTAAAAATTCAACCCTTAAGGGTCATTTAAACCTTGAAATTAATATGTGTTTGCCATGTAAAAGATGTAGGGAAATTAATTTGGGGAATCACAAAACAAGAAAGAAGCCTTTGTTTCCCAGAGACAGGAACAAAGGCCAGAGAAAAGCCACAGGACAATAGGCTTTGAAGATGCATAACAAGCCAAGAAATGCATGCAGCTTCTTGATGGGAGGCTTCTGAGCACAACCCTGCAGATTCATATTGTACTTGACGCCTCCACATCTGTCTGAGTGAGTGTGCGCTGTTTCAGCAGAAGATGAATGATGTAAGCACAGGCTTGCCTCAACTCACTAGAAACTCAAGCATGCCACAGTTGCTCAGGCAGGGGTAACATTCAAGAACTCTTCCAGGACATTTTATATAAGGGAAGAATTGACCTGTGCTGTTCGTTTCATGGAGTTACAGATGTCAATATATACATGGATAAACACATGTGTCAGTAACACTCAAGAGGCTCACTGCAATCTTGATCCATAATTATACCATCATGTTCCGACTGGTCATCCACATAGTACTACTCGACTCTAACAAGGCTCCTGGGGACACTTTCAGTGGGTCGATGACTCAGTGTCAGCAGAGCCTACAAAAGTCACCCTGGGCTTTTAAGAGCTAAAGGACTAGAAATCAATGGTCTCAGTAGCATGTACAAGATCTTAATTTGCCATTTTTAATGTGGCTAATCTCACAGAGAAGCTATAATAGAAAACAAAAAACTGCAAAGGCACCTGTAAAATGAAGACATGCTTGTCCAAAACCAAGCTGGACCCCATCACATATGCATAAACTCTCAGCTCTGCAAAAGGACTTAGTCTCTCATTTCCACTATTATACCCACAGGGATCAGTGCTGTAATTGGCACTTACTGTGCACTCAATGAATAGCTATGGATGAATGAATGTTACAATGGATAGTTATAATGAAAAAGCATATTAGTATTTTCACTAAAAAATTCATTATTTGGGAAGTTCTTCTGCTTCATTTTGAGTTAATATCCATTTGACCCAAGATACTATTTATATTAGAATTAAAAGCATGCCTCCTGATTTTATTGGCTTATTAATATATGCATTTGGTCATTAACAATGTGCTAAGCAGTCAAAGCAAATAATTATTCTTCTAGTCAGCCCTGGCACATGTGCTAAATGAGCGAAGCAACTTACTGCCTATTAAAAAGTTGTAACTAGCTTTAAAACATCCTGTTTAATCTCAGACAAATATTCAAAAATATTCAAAATATTCAAAAAGTCCTCTATCTGTCTCAGCTAAAAGCCCTCAAACAGTCCAAATCTTCAGAGGAGATTTTAAGTTCTGATCCAGTCACCTTGTATAATATATATATGTTCAGAAATATGCAGGCTCATATTTTAAGATCATCTGACCAATGGTTAGGGCTGATCATAAAAATGTATCTTTTCATTTATGTGTGTTGCATATATTGTACTTAAGAAGCAATGTAATTGCAAGGCTTTTATTTCACATCTGATTTTTAAATGTGACTGAATATATTAACATAATTCAGAACAAGTTGGTAAACATCCATGAGAACATGTTATATAATTCCAGAGAGCCTCATGATATCCTGAAGCCACTGAACAGAAAAATGCTAATTTTGTATCTATGTATCAATAATATGTATCGATGTTCAAGGGTCAATAGAAGCAGACCTTTGCCCACCATGTGGGACTGAGCAACAGCACCAAGCTGATGTCACGTGGGGCCCCTTCATCATGAGGACACCAGCTAACTGCAAAGCAGACCATTCAGAAACAGCAATTGTGTGCTGATCAATGAACCTTAGTTTGCCTATAGCTATTGTTTCTGTTGTAAGTTCTATAAACCTAGAACTCCCTAGGTTTATAGCTACTATAAATAAATAAAGTTAACTAAGAGGAGAGCATAGTGGAGAGATGGAGAGATCAAATTCAGATAACAACTTCTGAGCCCCTGGATCCAGCTACACCTAAGCAACAACACACATGGGAAAAATAAAAGTGCAAAAGCAAAAAGAGTAGGGTTAGAAGGGTGGCTCTGTGGTTAAGAGTGCTTTGTGCTCTTGCAAAGGACCTAGGTTCAATTTCTAGAACCCACATTGTATCTCACAAAAGTCTGGCACTCCAGTTTGAGGGGATCTGATGCCTTTTCTGGTTTGTGCAGGTACCTCGCACATGGTGCACATACATACACAAAGGTAAAACACCCATACACATAAAATAAGAATTTAAAAAGAGAGACAACCCAAGAAGGGACCAGATTACTGTTACAGATTAGAGTTACAAATTACAAAAAGTGGTGTTTACAAGTGGTAATGTCTGTCATTGGAAACGTTGCAAGGTGACATAGGGGTGTGTTTTCCTACTAAACTTGGATCAACAGAATTGTCACTGGGCCTAATTACTGTGATTAATCTTACCAAGTTCTAAATATAAAGTGAGCATGCATTTCCTGATATACAAAGATACCACAACCACCTTGAAAAGTAAGAACAATAGCAAACAGAGATGTCTTCAGAGGAAAATCTACTTTTCCTGCCTATATTTGGTCAGGATTAGCTAAAGAAGAAAAGATGCCTCTTGACATCCCAAGGCTTACCTGGCATGGCATGGATGAGGTCCCCACAAAGAACAAAGAATTTGGGTTTGGGGCTCAGCTTGTTGACGGCCTCAACAGCTTTCTCAGTGAGACGGATCTCCTGCTCCCACTCATCGCCACCATTGCCACAATCCCCAGTGGACCAGGCCTTCATCAGCCCAAATTGGGGGTCTGCACCTTGGATGAAGTAAAATGGGCCTCTCCATTCCATTTCCTTTTCTAAGACAAAAAAATAAGTAGGAGAGGGGGTGATAGAAAATCTGTCAGTGAAGGTGTCCAGGCTACCATGCAAGTGGAAACAATATTTTTCTTAAGTTAAGTAGGTCATTTTGATAAGGTGCTGTCCAAACATACCATTTTTCTGTTACTGTCTAGAGGATTTTGATTTACACCAATTATGCTGGAGACCTGGTGATTGCCAAAGGCCACTGGAAATGACGTGGATTGCTATAGCCATGTACCCAAGCTGTTTGTTTAAAAGCTAGACATCCAAAATGAGCCAGAGACTACAATGGAACACAGTGCAGAGATATTAATGTTCAGTAATAGTGTTCTAATTGGAATTGAAAATACCCTAAACCAATGCTGCCAGAGTGTTATATTTAAATTACTAGGTAAAGTGCTTACGAATCTTTTCTTCCAGACTTAATGGCACCATTTATGCTGTTTTGGGGGAATGTAACAGAATTTTAATTATAAAACTTGGCGTTCAAAGCTCTGGCTATCTGGTGGGAGATGCAGTGCCAGGAATAAAGTCTTGAAATATTGAGATGAGTAAATCAATGTGAAAGACAAAAAAAAAAAAAAAAAAAAAAAAAAAAAAAAAAAAAAAAAAGAAAAAGAAAGAAAAATATCAATGCTAAATTTCAAAGACAGTATAAATTGGGTATCAGCACACTGTGAGAATGAATATGGGAACTTTATTTTTTCCAGTTTAAATGGGATAGAAGTGACCACCCCCCAAAAAAAGAAAGAAAAAGCCACATGTGCACCCACTCATGTGAGCACACACTCACTCACACACACACACACACACACACACATACACACAAGAGCACACACAGAGTTGTTATACATACAAATGGTGAAATAATTACCACAATCAAACAAATTAACATATCTACCATGTCAACCTTTATGTGGGGGTGGTGAGAAAAATTAGTATCTATCGTTAGCAAATTTCAAGAATATAACATATTATAAAGTCACCAAACCCGCAGAACAAAGGATACCCACTAGTACTTCATCTGTATCATGGCTGTTAAATCTATCCACAACCAACCTGAGCTCATTGTAAGCAATTGGTGTCTGGGTCTCTGGTGTGCATTTCACTGTGTAGGACAGAGAACAAGCTCTACTTGAAGGATTGAACTCATATACACTCAGTCCTTACTGTGTGTGATAGAAAACCAAGGTAGTCCCCAAAGGTATTTCCTGGTAGCATTCACATCCTTAGTAACCTTGAGTATGGACTGCACCTGCTTCCAATAAACAGAATACAGTTAACCACCTGTCCCTTCAGATACAGGCTGGAAGATGACAGTGATCCTCCTCCCTCTCCTTCTCTTGCTCCACAGTCAAAAGCTGTCACATCAAGCTGGTACAGTGGTGCATGCCTTTAATCTCAGTGCTCAGAAGGCAGACACATTCCAGGTCAGCCAGGGGCTACACAGAGAGATTGTGTCTCAGAAGAAAACAAAAGCTATCATATACTAAACTGCCCTGTGGAGTAGCCAACATGGCAAGGGACAGAAGGAAGAGCCAGGTCAACCTCCCAGAAAGAACTGCATCTTGACAGTGGCCATGTGTGTGGAGCAGGAAGAGAGATGTCCATTACTGAACTTCGGATAGGAGAACCCAGCAATGATGTACCCGGATCCCCAAAGGGGGCTCTGACAATACAGCCTTGCTGCATCACACGGCTGAATTTCAGGGTGATTTGTTGGTGGCAATAGATAACTACAAATCAGGCTGGAGACAAAGAGTCAAGGGGAGAGACTTTTCCTCAAGAGCCAAATACATTTCATAAAAATAAATAAATAAATAAATAAATAAACAAACAAATAAAATTTAAAAAACCCTACTAGATGCTGCTCTGTAGTTTAAAGTTAACTGTTAGTAACATTTTCCTATTATTTTAATAGCAACCTTTGTATGCCGCTGATGGCTTTTAGCTATGTTCTGATTTCTGAGGCCCTCTGCAGAGCTATTTAAAACATAAATTAACCAGAAGTAGACCCTGGAGGTGTGTGACACCCAAGGTCACAGAGTAAATCAACCTGCTGATACAGTCTGGAAAGTTTCCTGCAGCAAACACTTTAACAAGTGGTTTCCCATGACAAAGAGCCAAGAGCCTCAAAAAGTCAATAGTCCTTGGAGCTATTAAGATAAATCTTTCATTACATATTTACTTAGTAAAAAGTTAGAGTGTCAATTTTATGATGATGAAGCACAAAATAAACAGATACAAATTGCTGGTTCAAAAATACAGCTTTCACCACATAGGGGAAAAAAGAGTTTATTCTGGAGTCAAATATGAGACAATGTGATCATGTCCCAGGACACAGATTCAGGTGACTTCAAATTCCATTTCCAACATGGAAATAGTTTCATAAAGCTTTTTAATTTTTGTCGGTTTTCCTTCCTTAAAGATTTTATTTATTTATTTATTTATTTATTTATTTATTTATTTATTTATTATGTATCTAGGGTTCTGCCTGCATATGTTCCTGCAAGCCAGAAGGGGGCACCAGATCTTGTTATAGATAGTTATGAGCCACCATGTGGTTGCTGGGAATTGAACTCAGGACCTCTGCAAAAGCTCAGGACCTCTGCAAGAGCAGTCAGTGCTCTTAACCTCTGAGCCATTTCTCCAGCTCTCATGAAGCTTTTGAATAAAAGAACAAAGGAAATCATAAATCAAGACAGTCTTCAAAAACATCAGGTGGGCAGTCACAGAATAGCTCAGTTATAGGATTGCGACACTATGTGATGACATTCTAAGCCTTTTCACTGCTAGGAGCTATTGCTTTGTTTGCACTGTCTAAATGACTTAACTAACAGCCACAAAGATATGAGGCCATATATACAGGAAAGCAGTACGTGACTCCTAAATGGGCTGAAAATGGCCCAAGGTAATTTGGCTCTGGACTTGCAATATTGCAAACTAGTCAATTAATCAGCCTTTGTAGTCAAAGCTTTCCAGACTGTCTCATTCACAGATAAAGCAAATGACAGTTCTGCACATTTAATAGTCACTTACTGTATTTACCTAGTAGGACAGCTGTGGCTCAGGGTGCTGCACTTGCAAAACATCTTTTAGGGTTTTGCTCGGGGGCTAATGGTCTTTAGTATCAACTTAATGTGAATCAAGGCCAAGCAGTCAACAGCACGGTGATGTGTAGATAAAGTTTCTGTCCCTCCTGGTCCTGCAGCCATTTAGTCCCAAGTAAATACACAGAGGATTATATTAATTATAAACTGTTTGCTGGTGGCTCAGGCTTCTTATTGGCTAGCTCTCTCTTGATTATTAACTCATTTATACTAATCTATGTATCTCCATGTGGTTTTGGCTTACTGGAGAATGCCCAGTAACCTATCTTTCTGGTAGCTATAGGGCATCTCCCTGGCAGCTCTCTTTCTCTGCCTTCTTCTTTCCAGCATTCTCCTTGTCTGGTAGCCCCACCTATACTTTCTGCATGGCTACTGGCCAGACAGTGTTTTATTACATAGATTCACAGTGATATATGCCTACATTTCATTTCTCAGAGATGTGGCCTTCTCAAAGGATGTGTGTCAAGGGGTAGGGGACCTTAAGGTCTCCTATGCTCAAGCTACACCCAGTGTCACAGTTCACTTCTTGTTGCCTGTGGATCAAGATGTAGACTCGCAGCTCCTTCTCCAGCACCATGTCTGCCTGCATGCTACCATGTCCCACCATGATAATAATGAACTGAACCTCTGAACTGTAAGCTGCCACCCCAAATAAATATTTTCCTTTATGAGAGTTGCCATGGTTATGTTGTCTCTACACAGCAACTGAAACCCTCAGAAGTAGTTAGCTGTTTTTGACTCTTTACTCTTTGGGGGACCCACCACCCAGCTCCCAAATAAATATAGGGAGAATTATTATTTCTTATAAATGCCTGGTATAGCTTGGCTTATTTCTAGTGGCCTTTCTTAATTTAAATTATCCCATCTACCTTTTGTCTCTGGGCTTTTCCCTTTTTTTCCTTCTGTATATCTTACTTTCACTCTTACCCTGTGGCTGGCTGTGTGGCTACAAGGCTTGTCCTTTCTTTTCTCACTTCTTGATCTTTCTTGTTTTCCTTCTATCTATTCTCTCTGTCCACCAGCCCCACCTATCCTTTTTCTGCCTAGCTATTGCTGTTCAGTTCTTTATTAGACCAATCAGGTGTTTTAGACAGGCAAAATAACACAACTTTACAGAGTTAAATACAACATGAAGGAATGGAACACATCTATGCATCATTAAACAAATGTTCTGCAGCATATACAAATGTAACTCATTTCTTTCTTTTTTTCTTTTCTTTCTTTTTTTTTTTTTTTTTTTTGCAGATTTTTCTGAGGCAGGCAAATCTCTGTATGTCTCTCTCTCTCTTTCTTTCTTCTCTTTCCCCTCTTTCTTCCCTTCCCCATTCTCTTCCCTCAATAAAACATCCTTCCCATGTTAAAAGAAATTTCTACAACACTAAGATAGCAAAACACACACACACACACACACACACACACACACACACACACACACACACACACACAAAGTTTATAGGCCAGCCAACACCAAGGACACAGGATCATCATCCCATAGGCAAGGGATTCCAGGAGGCAGGATCGGGAGGCATTGTTGAGTCAGCCATACACACTAATATAAAGGTCTGGACTAGGTGATGGCACACACCTGTAACCCTGCACTGGGATAAAGTATTCAAGGTTAGCTTCAGCTATATAGAGAGTTCAAGGCTAGCCTAGACTATATAAGACCTTATCTCAAACCAAACCAAACCAAACAACAAACAAAAGACCCAGGCCTGGCTGCTCATGCACTTTGCTCAGTTAACTTCAAGTTCACTACTGACTTTCTAGTACTGAACAGAATAAAGCCCATCCATAGGAAGCTAAAACGTTTAGTAACAGAAGCTACCTGAGTTATGATAAATTTCTAAAAATTGACTAACCAGTTTTTTATTAAACAAAGGTGC